CACCGTATCGTACGACTCTGGTAGGAGTTATAGTAGTGGAAGGAGCAGCTTCAGGCTTCTTGGTATTGAGTTCGTTGGCAGGCTAATGTGGCTACGTATTTAGCTTGAGTTAGCTTGGTTAGTCTTGAGTTGTATTGTTGAGGGACAGGTGGATTCGATCATTATTGAACTTGTTAGTGATCTGGGGAGATCTATGAGTTGCTTTTTCTGTGCTGTGAGGCGTTATTATTTGTTGATTATGGGCACACGTGGTGCAGATCTATTGGGGATTCATAGTGGATGTCGAGCGGGAAGAGTAATCAGATGTTGCTCGGTAAATGGAGTGTGGGTTATGACCTATCAGGTGGCGTGTCGTGTGTTGTTTATTTCACCGTGGGTGCAATGAATTGCCTTGGTTTCAGACATCAAATTGTGTGTGGCTGTCGAATTTTGATCACAGTGTCTTGAGGTGCTCCATGTGTAACAGTGTTTGGATAGGATCGCGCATTGTAGCGAGGCTGCGTTGAGTTATGACCTTTCGGGGTAGATTCAGGTGTTCTATTTCTATGATGTGAGAAGGGGTCTCAGCCTTGTGTTGTGATGATACTGATGAGCTTGAAGTACAGCTCTTTTGTTTGAGTTATTTTCATGATTTGAGTATATTCAGGTCGTTTCTTGTTGGTACGCGTATTATGCAAGTTGTGGCTTAGGCCTGTATTGAAGTATCATATCACCAGAGTGGTGTGTTGGATTCGAGGTGATCTTTAGAGTCATTAATGAATACGAATAGAATTGATTGCAGCTTGTTAGAGAGATAATATCAAGGTATGGCCCGGAAATCTGTTGTGATATTAGTCAAAGGGAAGTGGCTTCATGAATGGTTGATCTGAGGAATGGTTACGGTTTATCGCGTGTTTCATTTGTTGTTGGCAGTATATGGAAGTGTTGGAATAAGACTTTAGCTAATAAAAGGTTTTCTATCGGTATTTGGTTCGTTTCGAGTGTTTGGATTATGTGGTATATCATATGATTTCACCTGAGGTTGCAAGTATGGGTTATTACAGCTGGTTCGGGTTTATTCTAGGTATAGATGTGAGGTTCTGATATTGTGTATGATTTCGGAAAGTGCAAAGTGGTTCTATGGTTTATGGTTTAAATGGACTGTGAGATTTCGGCTATATTGTGTTGTCGGACCTATATGAGATAGGGTGACGTGAGATCACCCCGGGTATATGCTTGGTAAAGTTATTCAGCTGTTGGTTAGCTTCTAGGACAACTCTGGGTACGCTCGAGGACGAGCGTTGGTTTAAGTTGGGGAGGATGTGACGACCCGACCCGTCGTCTCATGTATTACAGCCCCATTTCCCTCATTTACTGCTTCTTCATGTTTCATTATCAGCAACGAGTGAGTTATAGTTGAATTGAATTGGTTTGGATAGGAAATGAGACACTTAGTCTCTTTAAGGAAGGTTTGGTTTGGAAAAGTCAACCGAACGTTGACTTATTAGTTAAAAGGCTCGGATGTGAGTTCCGGTGATCCGGTTAGCTTCGGGAGATGATTTGTCACTTAGGAGTGCGATCGGAATTGAATTTGCAGGTCCGGTGTGGAATTAGGCCTGAATTGGCGAAGTTTGAATTTTGGCGAATTCCGGTTGATAGGTGAGATTTTGATCCGAGGGTCGGAATGGAGTTCCGAAAGTTGCAGTAGCTCCGTTAGGTGATTTTGGATATGTGTGCAAAGTTTCAGGCCATTCGGAGGTGGTTAGGTCGGGTTTTTGATCGAATGTGCAATTCGGAAGTTTTTAAGAAACTTAGGCTTTGATTTGAGGATAATTGAGGATTTTGATGTTAACGATAGTGTTTTGATGGTTCGAGCGAGTTTGAATAAGGTAATAGATCATGTATGTGCTTTTGGTTGAGGTCCCGGGGGCCTCGGGGTGAATTCGGGTGGTTAAACGGAGAATTCGGAGTTTGTTGCATGTTTGAAGTTTGCTGGTTCTGTCATTTCCGCATCTGCAGAAAAGGGACCGCATAAGCGGTTCCGTAGATGCGGCGTATTGGTCGCAGAAGCGGTCCTTGAGGGACCAGGGTTTTCCGCAGAAGCGGACGTGGATCCACAAATGCGGCGACCGCAGAAGCGGTTCTAGACCGAATAAGCGGTCCGGAGGAATTTAAGTGAGATCGCAGAAGCGATCGTTTGGTCGCATACGCGATGACCGCAGGTGCGGCATATTAACCGCAGAAGCGGAAAAACGGTTTGGGTTTAAGTGAACAGTGGTTCACGAATTGGAAAGAGAAGAGAAATATTTTGGACTTCGGCTTAGGCGGTTTCTTGGGCGATTTTGAAGAGAATTCGAAGGGGCTTCATCAGGTATGAACTATTGGACTCGGATTATGTTTATATAGTGTAAAATCATGGATTGAACACTGAAATTTAAGGGATTAAATGCTAAAAATGGAGGTTAGGGCTTGAAACTTAAGAGAGCTTAAATTGATGATTTGAGGGGTCAAATGGACTCCGATTCTTGTGAGTTTGATATGTATAGACTCGTGGCGAGGCAAGGATCGTTTTGATGTAAAGTTTTCTGGATTTCGAGAAGTGGGCCCGGGGCTCGGGTTTTGCTAATTTCGCGATTTTCGATATTTTTCGAGTCTTTTCGATTGGGTTATGTTTCTTTGGCACATTGTAACGTATTCGTTGTGGTTTTGGCCAGATTCGTCGCGCGAAGAGGTTGATTCGAAAGGCAAAGGCATAGCGAGCTAGATTTGTGGCCGGCTTGAGGTGAGTAATAGATGTAGATGATGACCTGAGGGTTTGAAACCCCGGTATATCACATTGTGACGCTATATTGAGGCGAGACACATACTCTATGACGAGTGCGGGGTCGATTGTGACTGGGGATTGTGACCTAGTCCGTTCCGATTGATGTTCGTACTGTGTTGTTGACTAGAAATTGTTTGGTAATCATCCTACTTGGATTTTATGAATATGTTTGGGGCTTTGTGCCTATCATTTGCATCCTTCAGGGATCCTTATCACTGCTTCCATGATGCTTAGCATATTTTATGATATCAGGCCTGAGTTAGACACTGCCTCGAAATGTTTAGTAAATAAATAAAGGTTTAAACACTTAGCTCTATAATTCCTAATAATTGAAACTAAAAATGAACAATTTGACTGTGCCCGAGTGGCTTGCATGCATATATATATCTGGACTGAGTGTGGATCGGGCTGCACGCCGCAGCGAATGCTACGATGATATTGTGCTTGGGCTGTAGGAGCCCCTCCGGAGTCTGAACCCCCACAGTGAGCGTGGGTACCCAAATGGATCGGGCTGCGCGCCGCAGCGGTCATGTGCATTGCATTGCATTCATGCTTTGTTGTTATCTGATTTATTTGATTCTGTTTTGTTGCCATTTCACCGTTAATTATGCTAAATTGTTAGTTTTAGCTTACATTGTGGTATTTTCGAGATTTCTTACTTTCAGCCATTATATATGTCTATTACCACTGATTTGGAGGTACTCACTTTACTCCCTGCACCTCGCGTGCAGTTGCAGGTATCGTTCACCCGGTAGCGGGTTATCAGCGGATTGAAGGTATTGTTATTGTAGCTGAGCAAGGTGACCGCCAGCGTTCGCGGCACCGGATGTTGTCTTTTGTTTTCCAAAAATTTTACTTGTATATATTTATTGGCCTGTAGTTGTGTTAAGGTTTCCTTAGATGCTCGTGACTTGTGACACCCCGGTCGGGTAGTAATTAACAGTTTCTAATGCCATTAAGTTGTATCTTCTATTCATTTATGTTTAATAATTGTTAGTGAAAGGATTTGGGTTAGTTGTCTGGCCTTGTCTTCACGAGAGGCGCCATCACGACTGGGTATGGGAATTGGGTCATGACATTTATCCACCTTCTTTTGACACTTCTTGCAGTTGACATACGACCACCCTCTTTCAATATCTAAATTTTCAATACTTGCAACAATCAAACACGGATCTTCCTGTTTAATATATTAATACAACTTGTGATATCGAAATTGAGGATAGCATATTTGTGTAAAGGGAAGACATAAATTAGGCATACTATATTTGATTAATCAAAAATCAAAATGCCAACTGAGAGCTGAATATATATATAGCTTAATTTTTGATGAATACAATTATTTCCGTTATTTACATTCCTAACTAAAGAGATTGAAGAATATAGTTAAACCAAGCAAATTATTAGATATTTAGAGTGAAGAAACAAAATAGTTAGAACATAAAGTGTATTCTTTTTAGAAAAAAAACAGTTAGAACATAAAGTCAAAATAATTACAATAATGCACATATTTAAATGGAAAAAAGTGCCACTGTCTTTTTTTATTATCGTAATTGTTAAATTTCTCTACAGTTATAATTATATCTTATACTTGTTTGACCGGTAAAAAGAGGCAATTTCTAGTTTAAACTACAAAAGTTGTTCACGTTACAACACAACTGCTACAAAAAGTAGATTTTATTCAAATAGAGAACTAAGTCGTTAAATTTTAAAGCTAGCATACTATCCCTTTATTATTCCCTCTTAAGTTAGATACTATTTTCAAGATCCTCTAAAAGTAAAGTCGATGATTTTCCTTCTCTAGTTGCCTCCAAAAGGTACTGCGTTATCCATTTTGTGAATACTTTAGCATGTACGCTCGCACGCTACCTAATAAGCTTATTCTTGGAGAAATTTAGGACAGGGGTGAAGGCAAAAGAGATGGTCCGACTTGTTTGGCTGGCACCTTCTAAACACATTATATATTATTGGTTAATATGAGTACACAACATAGAGGGACTTATTGTTAAACAATTTTTTGGTTCAACATAAATAGTCATGATATTTAGGATTCTACAACATATGTATCAATCTAACCAACTAAGTTCAATTAGCTTGATTTTATCACACAACGACTTTAACATATGTGTTATTCATCGTAGCAGATGCACATAGAACAACTATTAACTTTAAAGAATGATTGAAGTAACACAACACGAAATAGTTCACTCACTTACATCGATTCCATTAATTCACCAATTATTTTAACTTGAACAACGCCCTTAGCTAACTAATCAAAGACAAAAACTTTGCTGAGAGATGGTTTGAGTCAGCCTCTCAGAGAAACTATCCCGAACATAAAGTAATCTGAATTTAACAAAGTGTAAAACAGTTAGGTTGAAAAAATAGAATTGAGTATTCATGCAAGATTTTTTTATTAAACCATTTCTTAAATCGTCAGATTGAGGAAAATTTGGATTAATCCAAAACTTTGATACATTTCAAGTATTGCGCACCGAATATAAATCTGCGAAACAACGTATGTGTAAGATGTAATGAGATAACCTCTCACAAAGTAAAGACATGTGAATAATTACATTTTACCTTGCAATTTATGTGAATAAGCTGCATAACAACAACGATAGGCTTGCTGTAATAGCTTGGCAGATGAGGTACAATTTGATCAATAATTTGCCCCAAAATGTAGCGGCTCTTGGTCCTGCCAAATAGAAATAGAAAGATAATTTTTAGCATATGTAATTGCCAAATTCATCCATAATCAGTGAATGAGTGTTTATTCTTACTCAACATCTTTAACTCCGACATTCATAACCTTTCTAGAAATTTCACCTTGTTTGTGCATTTGGACCTCACTAAAATTGGGGATTTCTCCGATTAATTCTAGAATTAGAATATGTTAATTAAATAGCAGAAAATATAATAATTAGAAGTTTACAAATAGCAACAACAACAACAACAACATCCCTGTTTGGGGAGGATAGTGTGTACGCAGACCTTATCCCAACCCAGAGGGAGTAGAGAGGTTGTTTCCGAAAGACCCTTGGCTCAAAAAGACGAAAAGAGACTATATTAGTACCACCAATAGAAATCATAGAAAAAATAACATCATGAAAGTAATAATTAGAAGTTTACAATGAACGTTATTTTTACCGAATAATCCAGGCTCGTTCATATCAACCTTATTTATCAATTGATCATATGGTGGCAGATCAAAGATATTCATCGGAGAAGTGATCATTAATATGTGTTCTGAAAAGATGCAGCACTGACTTGCCAATAGAAGCATGTATTCGATCCCCTTACAAAGGAATCATATTACATACATACATATATATAGAATTTAAAAAATATACAAACAACATAGCAAAATAATCCAGATTTTCACATTAAAAAACAGAGAAGCAAACACATGATACATGCTTAGTATATCGCTGAGAAACATATTTAAAGATACGTATGTTTGGTGCACAAATGCTTAAATCAGGTTTTTGCTATTGATTATCCCATGAATACGCACATATACAAATTTAAAAACGAATAATAAGATAATAATAGATTTTTAATACCTTTTCATCTTGTAGAACCAATTCAATCGAGAAAATAATGTTGGAATGGTAAGGATCTGGTACTCCCCACAGACGAACAAACCGAACTTTGAACTTGTTTGATTAAATCACTGTGAATAGCCATATTTGCTGAAATCGTATGTTTTGTTGTATTTTTTATAGCAGGCGGAAGATTTGAAGTTAAGGACCGACTATAAGTTGGAGAAACAGAAGTCGGCATCATGGAATGGTTCCGTTTCAATCGTGCGTTTGCATCATGTTTAGTGGTTTTGCAGAGGATACGGAAAGTGGGTTTTAAATGTGCAATTTTTTATTTTTAGATAATAATCTAAATTGGTTTTCTTTGTTAAAGTTAAAGAGTAAACAATGTTTTAAAATCAGTTAATTTTTAAAATATAAAGAAATCCGAATTTTTGAATTAAATAAAGCTCTTTTCTTGGAAAAAAAACTTACGGTCTTCATGGTTTAAAGCAGCAGATGAATTTGAAGGAGCTTTTATTTCATAATTTTGAATCAGTAAATTTTTAAGATGTATGTTTTAAATTCAGTTAATTTTCTTAAACATAAATAAATCTAAAATTTTGAATTAAACAAAGATATTTGAAAAAAATTCGGTCTTCATGGTTCAAAGATAAAGAGTCAAAAACATATGTTTTAAAATGTGCAATTTTTAATGTGCAATTTTTAAATAATAACCTAATCAGATTTGCTTTTTAAATTTAAAGATTAATGTTATGCTTTAAAATCAATTAATTTTGTAGAAATAGAGAAATCTTTAATATTCGGGAAAGTGGGTTCTAAATGTGCAATTTTAATTTTTAAATAATAATCTAAATCAATTACTTTTTTTGAAGTTAAAGAGTAAACAATGTATGTTAAATCAGTTAAATTTTTAAGATGTATGTTTTAAAATCAGTTAATTTTATTAAAATAAATAAATCTGAAATTTTGAATTAAATAAAGCTCGTTAAAACAAAAAAAATTTGGTCTTCATGGTTCAAAATTAAAGAGTAAAAAACATATGTTTTAAAATGTGCAATTAATGTTTATTCTAAATCAGATTTTCTTTTTAAATTTAAAGATTAATAAATGTAGGCTTTAAAATCAGTTAACTTTTTAAAATAAAGAAATCTTTAATATTTTAAAAATAAAAAAATCGAAATTTTTTTTATAATTTCCTAGCTCCTATTTTTTTTTTGGAGGATTGTCCTAAAATGCCAAGTGGCCTATTATGATGATGCCACTTGGCTTAATGAGGATGCTTCTTCCTCTCTTTTTAATTATAGATAGATAAATAAGTCTTTTTTTTTTCCTTTTCGCAATTATGTATTTAATTGACATCTTGTTTTTTGGAGCATTATGGACACTCCAGTGAATATGACAAAATAGTCCATTATGTAAAAATATAACTTGAATATATTTTAAGCAGTTTTGATCATTTAAATTTATCAAAAATAAACATATTTAGTTCCCGTCAAATATGTAACAAATTTTGGCGATTATATTTCACAAAAAATAGTACTATGAATATAACATAAAAATTTATTAT